ACTCCTTTGAAGACAGAGAGGTACAGATCTTAGCCAGAGAAAAGAGGTGGTTTGAGAGAGGAGTTAAAGAAGCTATTTTTATTAGGAAAGACAATCCATCTTTGAACAGAAATGGGGGGACTCAGACACCATCTGTCTCAAATCTAAATCAAAACAAACAAGAGAACAATAGGGGCAGCCGGGCAGGTCCAGAGGTGTGAAAGCTCCATTATGGCCCTGAATAATTATGCTAATAAGACCCCACACTCAGTGCAGTTCAATAGGCCTAACTAACTAACAGAAACTGTAAACAAGCAGATGTGTTAGTTTCAGAGTATTTTCATTGCAGTTAGCTCCTCCGTTCATCCAGATTTTGACCAGAACTAAAGAAGCTGCTTGGATGAGCTGTGATACATATTCGACCAAATAAACTTTTGTCCATTTGACAAATTTAACTTCTCCTTTGCCTTCACAGTATGATATTAAACCTTTCTATCTCCATGGAAACCAAAGCGGACTAAGTTACAGGTCAGATCTGTGGGGATCACAGTCAGAATGCCTGTTTTACTAGGTATTTTTGAGCCATGAAATCATCTGTAATCAAATAAATGTGAGGTAGAGCTGTTTATTGTCATACTGTGGGACATTCCAGGCAGAGCAATGACATCTCCATAGAAACAAGCAGGTGACAAAAGTTGCACAGTGCACCTTTAAGAATTACAAAGTCGATTTTTATCACAAAAATAAAAATAAACTCTCTTGTAAGACCTAAACTGCCTGAACATAGTGAACAGTCTGTTTTGCATTTGTCAGATTCATTGAAAGTTTGCACAGAGTAATAACTGAGGATTGTAGCTGTTGCGGTGCAGCCCACAAAGACCAGGATGTGTTTCCTGGAGCTAAACAAACTCCAGTGAACAAACTTGTTCTAAATGCAAATGAGCTGCGATTTCAATAACAGAAACTTTGAGACACGGCACCTGAAGGAAAGACACATCTCCTCTCCGCTCCGTCTCTGCCCTGGTGGTCCTCACACCAATCCAAGTCTGGTTCCCCCCCAGATCCAACCAGCACTAATTAGAGTCTACGATCCTGGGCCAGTATTTAGTTTTGGCCAAAGAATCTGTCTAAAGGGAAAGCTGCAGTCTTATTTGACAGCAAAAAGGGATGTTTGTAGATGTTGTTTGTTATATTTGTGCAGGATAATCAACAGCTAATATTAACCAGAGCTATTCTCTAAACTTGTTTTTAGTTGCACTATTTGGTGACTAATGCTAAATCAGCCATTGAAAATACATTGGAGCCAGTGTATACAACAGTACCAGGCCTTCTGTTTACACTGGAAGGGTTCAACATATTTTTATTTATATATTTATACTTTTATATAGATTTGTGCACTCACTGTATAGACAGGCACTGTTTATTGACTTTAGAATGTTGTTTGTGGAAAATCCCTTCATACCAGCCTACGTACTGACCGTCAGGTGTTTCCCAAAGACACGTGGGTCGCAAGAGATTTATTTTTGGGTCGCCTTGTCACGATCTGCAATATACAGTTTTGACACTGATATTCATGTTGCGCTTTCCTCCTGCTCCCCGGACCACCTATCTCACTTAGAAATGTTGAAATGTTAAGACATGTTTTGTATAATTTCGTAAGTATTTTATTGACTATTTTGTTCCAATATTGCTGGTTCAATTGAATGCTGAAAAGAAAAAGAAAAGGGCTAAACTTAATGTCCAAATACTTACTTATTTGGACATTATGGATCCATTTTATTTCTGAATCAATTACTGTTTTTCATTGTTTAAAACTTAAGTAATACTAATTGTTCAGAGAGACACGATCACTCAATCGACAATAAAATATCCTCATTAATGTTCAATAATGGTCAAATCCACTTTTTTCTCTCAATATTTTTATAAATTTTCAGACAATAAAACATTTTTCACATGAGCAACTGACCACGTTATTAACACAGGTCAACATACAACCGAAAAAAAATAAAAAAATAATAATAATAATTACAAACCAATTCATACACTCACACACTCATACACATTCACATATTCCCTAAACAATATTTGCACAATACAATTTATCTATTTATATTCAGTGACCATATGTACTTTAAAAAAAATTAATAAATAAATAAATAAAAAATGGGTAGAGAAAAATAAATAAATAAATTAATAGATAAATAAGAATAAAATATAAATTAAGTAATTAAAAATAAAGTAAGATAGGTAAATAAAAAATAATAATACTAAAATAAAATAATAATAATAACAATGACAATAACAACAACAACAATATTAATGAAAATAAATACAAATTTAGTATTATCACTGTTATCATCATCACCACCAATGCTGAACAACAATAACAATTTTTATTATACATATACATCATTTCTATTTTTTTGGATATGATATTTAAATAAGGTTCCCATAATTTCATAAAGTCTTTTCATTTTCCCTTTGCTATAAATGTCAATCTTTCAAGGCTGATACATTCTGAAATTTCCTTAATCCACTGTTTTGTTGAGGGGACTTCAATGTTTTTCCAGTTTAGGGTGATAGCTCTTCTTGCAAATCCACCTTTAATTTGTGATTTATGAATAATGTCTATTGACTTGGGTCGCGAAGGTTTGTGACTTTAAAAATATGGGTCCCCAGAAAAAAAGTTTGGGAAACACTGCTCTAGTCTAACTGTTAATGAATCGACATTGGCCATGACAAAAAAAATATAGGCCGATCTGTAGCTGTAATCCTCTGCAGGTCTATTTAAAGCCGAGTGGTGAGAGATGGTACTTAAACCTGTCTCTAATGAACTCAGCCTCGCTCTCACATGCTGCTGCAGTCACATGTAAAGCTCATTCACTCACACAGACTGTATGACACCCCCAGCAAACATAACTCACATTAATGAGACTAATGAGACTAATTACAGTCTGACCTCCACACACACCTGCCCATGTGAACAAAATACATGCAGGGTTTGGGTTAAACTTGGACTTTTGTCAACCTTGTAATTAAAAAGTAATTAGTGGCTTAGTGAGTGCTGAAAAAAACAAAAAAGAAATCGTAAAACACAGCAGTTTTTGGCATATTATTGATCATTAGTCAGTGTGAAGGAGGGCGATATATGGAAAATGGATTGATATTGTTTTAATTACATCTTTAATATTGAGTATAGTGTGTATAAAACCAATACAAATCTACTACAACAAATACAAAATAACAAACATTTTGAAAGGTAGAAAATGATACCTGAACCTCAAGAGTGTTGAGATAATTTCTCAAAAATGTTACAATATTAAATTTGCACTATGGGTCCAGTCAAGTGGTAACGGAGGGAAACAGGGGTAGATTTTTTACATTCAAATAGCTCTTTTTTCAGAAACTAGAGGGACTATTGAAATAAGTAAGGTATCAGAATGTAGGAAAGAGTTAACACTCCAACAGGGTAAAGTTAAACCTGTGATATTCTTTCAAGTTGTTGACAAGAAATTTAAAAAAATCATGTCGGTAACAGAGGGAATGAAATATGCAGCACTTTTTGGGCAATAAATACAAACAGTGATAACTAGAGGTTCTCACTTACATATCCTTAACAAACTGGTTTGAATATTTGCTTCATATAGTTTTCTACCATATGTTACAAGATTAGGTTGAAAAACCTCTTACTTTTTGAGTAATGAGATTTTTTATTAAGAAAGGTCATGGTAACGGAGGGAAAATTGTGCAAGCAAGTAGAAGATGCATGATTTTGAATAATTTGTCTCTTTTTTCTTCCGAATACTTTAATATTACTTCAAAATGAAAGGTAACTATTTATATAAAATATGGCAGTCCTTCCAAGCTAATTTTTATCATTTTAAATACATTTTTTTGAAAAATCATGTACCTTCATCAACAGTTCAAAGATGGAATAACACAAGATGTGATGAAATACATCCATTTATTTACATGATTTGCAGGTCTTTGAAATTTGGGAAATAATTTTTGTTCCATGTTTCATACATGGTCTGTTTAAAACGTATGTAACTTTAGAACCAAAAATGGTACAGAAAAAAGGTAAACAGTTTCATAAACTAGAGTACATATGTATCTGTTGAATACATTTTTATATCTCCCTTGCACTTGTTTAATTACAGGTGTTTTATAGCTCAAAAATACATTGAAAAACATGAATTCGTACCCTGTGCAGGTTTGCTTCTCCATAGAGCTAATCATTAAGCTGTCATTGTGATTACCAAGTTTATTGTTGAATAATCAAAGAAACACAATAATATCTTCATTCATCAGAAAAGTTACACTGTGCACCTTTAAATTTCTTTATTTTTCACATTTTCTTCATCAAATTTCAGGGTTTGGCTTTAAAACGTTCACGTGATTGTACATTACGTGATTTCACTGCCGTACATTTTGACTTTTCTTCTTTTATTGTCCACCTAGAACGCAACGCAATTCTTATAAGCTTCCCTCAACTGAACCAAAGTTTAATCTCATTCTTTGCGTGAGAATAGCGGCTTTGTGCGCGTCCATTGTTCGGCACAAATCACTTTCAGAATAGGCTAATTACTCGCCATTATTAAGGTTAATCTCTGGCCTATTCTTTTCAGAGGAATTCATTCAACTCAGTTTATTCATAAGTAACTGGTACATTTTACACAAAAGCTTTGCACAGTCTGTTTACATGCCCCGACTTGTTAAAGGTTTAATATTACGCAAAATTGATTCTTGTGAGCTTTAAGCCGTGTTTTAATGTTTTTAAATCCTCGAAAACATACTCGGAGTTGTGTTTTGTTTCATTCACACATGTTTGACTAATCTTTTATTATTACATCTACATCTCCAAAACTCAAAATGCGCCACCCTTTACCTTTTTGTTCAGTAGAGATTGGCAGTTCCAGTAGTATTTTCCTTAACTTGAATACATCTTGTTTGAATACATTTCCAAACTCATTTACTGTAAGTCAACACTTTCTAACTTTCTCTTTCTTTTCTTTTTACAGGAACGGTTCCAAGTGAAAAACCCCCCACACACGTACATCCAAAAGTTGCGCAGTTATCTGGACCCTGCAGTCACAAGGAAGGTGAGTGCTCCTGCCAGTCCCTGTCAGTCCCTGCCTCTGCTGCGGCCCTGACCCTCTGTACAGGATTTCCCCCCACAGCTGAGAAAAGAGGGGACACGCTGTGGGAACGGCAGTGACAAAACCACCAGATAGTCAGTTGTTTATCTAAAAACGCCCAGGATTACACACAGCATTAGGAGGGATTGTTTTGCAAATTATCAAGTAGAGACCAAGTTCATTTTGACATCATATTTTTATTTTGTTTTGGTCATAGTCATATCAAAAAACTAATCTCAGATGTTTATTTTCTACTAGAATCCGTGTGACATTCGTTCATTTGTTTTTCAAAATGAAACCAACAATAAGAAAACAAAAAACAAACTTTTTTCTTCTGATTTGTCTCCAAAATAATGATTTGTTTTTTCAGTTTTTGATTTTGTGTTTAAATGAATAATGGAAAAAACAGATAATGGCCGTTTACCATTTCCATGACTTAAACTGCGATGCCGAACTTTTGCGCCGCCTATGGACTGAACCAGGACTGAGTGTCGGGACGGGCCTGGAGGTGTGCCCGCGTAGACTGTGGGGTGATCAGGACTGAGACCAGAACCAGACCAGGACTAAGACCGGGACTGAGACCAGGACTTAGACCAGGCGCGGGACTGAGACAGGGACTGAGACCGGGATCAGACCAGGACTGAGACCAGCAGTGAGACCGGGACTGAGACTGGGACTGAGACCAGGACTGAGACCAGGACTGAGACTAGCACTGAGACCAGCACTGAGACCAGCACTGAGACCAGCACTGAGACCAGCACTGAGACCAGGACTGAGACCAGACTGAGACCAGCACTGAGACCAGCACTGAGACCAGCACTGAGACACAGGACTGAGACCAGCACTGAGACCAGCACTGAGACCAGACTGAGACCAGACTGAGACCAGCACTGAGACCAGGACTGAGACCAGGACTGAGACCAGACTGAGACCAGGACTGAGAACCAGGACTGAGACCAGCACTGAGACCAGGACTGAGACCAGGACTGAGACCAGCACTGAGACCAGCACTGAGACCAGGACTGAGACCAGAGACCAGGACTGAGACCAGGACTGAGACCAGCACTGAGACCAGGCACTGAGACCAGGACTGAGACCAGGACTGAGACCAGCACTGAGACCAGGACTGAGACCAGGACTGAGACCAGGACTGAGACACTGAGACCAGCACTGAGACCAGGACTGAGACCAGCACTGAGACCAGCACTGAGACCAGGACTGAGACCGGGACCAGAGCAGGACTGAAACTGGGACCAGACCAGACTGAGACCAGGACTGAGACCGGGACCAGATCGGGACAAGATCAGGAATGGGGCTGGGACCAGACCGGGACCGAGACCGGGACCAGACTGGGCCCAGGACGGAGACCCGGACTGAGACCGGGATTGAGAACAGGACTGAGACCAGCACTGAGACCAGGACTAAGACCAGGACTAAGACCGGGACTGAGACCAGGACTGAGACCGGACTGAGACCGGGACTGAGACCGGGACCAGACCAAGACTGACACTGGGACCAGACCAGGACTGAGACCGGGATTTAGTCCTGGTTCAATCTTGGTTCAGTTCTGGTTCAGTCCTGGTTCAGTTCTGGTTTAGTCCTGGTTCAGTCCTGGTTCAGTCTGTATGCGGTTGGTGTTTTCGTATTATTTCTGCACAAACTTAGTGGACTTTTAGTATCACAGCCACGATTTAGCCTTTTGTTTTTTCACAGAACCTTATTGAATCGATTTGAAATATATCGCATTGAATTGTACTGAATCAAATGTGCACTGCATCGAAAAAGTATCGTATCGTTCCCTATGTATCGAGGTAAATATCATATCGGGAACTCCTTAATGATCCCCAGCCCTAGTGTCTGTGACGTCAGAGCTTTCATAAACCCTTAGAAAATCTCGTCCAGTCTTTGGGCTTTTGGATCGAGGCAGTGGTGAGAGGAGCGGCTCTATCAGACTGGAGCCGCTGCCAGAGTCAAGTCTTTTTGGCGCGGTGAAAGAGAGCTCTGTGATAAACACATTAACTGTCCGCCTCGGCCAAAATGACTGGAAATCACTCAATGAATCAGCTGGCTTTGTTAGTGAGGCTTCAGTTTCCCATTGCAATATGTTACACAGTGGGTTTTGTTAATCAACGAAAACACAACAGTTACTGAGTTTCAGATGGACAATATTAATTAATACAGATGGATACAGACAGCTAAAATTAAAACTGTTAAAATACAAAATGATCTTGTATTGCAGTGAGTTCAAGGGGTTTAGAGCAGAGGTCATCAAACTAAGGCCTACGGGCCAACTCCGGGACTGCACGCCCCTTTGTCCGGCCTCCCAGCCCCTCTTCCCCCACAATTTGAACTGGCCCTATGTGGCAATCCTCAAAAGTTGTCATTTTTTTAAATTAGATTTTGGAACATAATAACACATCTGCATCTTGTATTTTGTTGATTTTTTTCTGTTAAAACATGATATATATATGAAGTATTTATATTTATATTCAAATTATTATGTGATGTATTTGCATTTGCTGCAGAATTTTAGTTTATATTAAATACTATTATTACGCCAGAATGTTGAGGTGAATGTCTATATCGATAGAATAATTTTAGAAGTAAAACCAACCTTGCATTTGAAGGATTTATGTCTGAGCAGCAGCAGCGAGTTGTATTTCCTGATAGAAAACTTGGCAGCGGCGGACTGATATGTGAGAAAATAGTCCCTCAACATGCGACAATTCATGCGAGGCAAGGTTAGTTTTATTTCAAACATTATAGGTAGGTATAAGGTAGAGCTGTTTAATGTCCTACTGTGGAACATTCTAGAAAGAGCAATGACATCTCCATAGAAACAAGCAGGTGACTGACCCATTACCAAAAAGTTACACAGTGCACCTTTAAGGACATAAATGCTGTTTTCAGTCTTTATGCTGGATATTGGGTTTTTGACATCACTTACTGCTCACATTAGGACACGGTAACTTGATTTTTGTTTTGCACCTTCATTTGTTGTTGTTTTCCCAGCTCATTCCTCATAACGGTTATAGATCTTATGTCACCCAAGGCTAGCATTGTTTGGCCCTGAAAGCTTTGTATTTGTGCACTGTGCTTTACAAGTGGGAAATAACCTGGCCAACAGCTTATTCTCTGAGTATTTGAACAGTATATAGGCTGTAGTCACGCAGACCTGTTAACTGGTGTCTAAATCAATTACATTACACGAGGAAGAAACAGCTATTTTACCTGGACTATAACATGAGCTGAGTTTGAGATCTGTAATATGTGCTCCTGTAAATGTGTCACAAACAAATACCTGGATGTGAGAAATCAAAGAAACCCACACTTTTGTTGTTTTTGTGTTTGTTATGGGACGTCCCAGTAAATGTTTCAATTGCAGGTTTTAGGACCAAATAACACCACAGACAACTATAGGGCTTCCATAGTTATTCATGTGATTTTTGGTGTTTGAAATACTGCCATTGTTATAAAAAAAGAAAACATTTATTTCCACAACATATTTAAGCCACAGTATTTATGTTGGTTGGTTGTGTTTATTGCACTGGAATACATAGGAAAACATATGTTCTTACTGTGAGGAGGCTTGTATCTCCACAAATGTGACTCTTACACACAACACAATCAAACAAGCATCTTCCTCAGAGCATCATCACTGTTTCTCCCCGCGCTCTGCGCATGTCTTCTGCAGAGAGAGCCGTTGTCCTGTCTGTATCATGTCAGTGTCTCATAGGATTTCTGCAGATTTCAGGCTTTCCCAGGGGCTAGTTGTATCGATCAGGTCTGAGTGGATGTCCAGCTACTGAAGTCTGAGACATTTATCTCATCATTTACACACTCACCAGCATTTAACACATACAGGTCATTAAGTCGTATCCAACTCACTAATGTTAATTTAGCATTATAACTTATTTTATCGCATGGCAATAAACTGTTTTAGTGCACTGACAACATCACTAGCTAAAGCTGCAACTTCATGTTGATAATCAAATAATCCTTTTATAAATTAGGTGCAGCATTGTTTTAAGACGCATGGTTCAAAGTGTGTGAAAAAAGTATCCGCTTATAGTCCGGAAACTGCGGCACTTCAGTGCCATTTTGTGCAAAATAAATGTTCCTCCAAAGTGCGAGCTCTGCTCCAAACCACATGCTTTTAAAGGACTGGCTGTGGTGAATCATTGAGGATTAGAAATGACTGAGTCTCGATCTTAATTAAGCCATTAATGTTTTATTCATGCTAAAATGTTGTGTGTGTAATATTCACCATGTGCATTAGCCAAACCCCATTGGACTTCCTAGAATTTGCCAAATTTGTGTTACTTTCACAGTCTGTGTCGAGCAAAGTGCCTGACTGGACACTGGGCTATAAGCTCAAGGTAAACTGAAGTCTATAGGGTAGAGGGCTATGGACTAACGTGAATAGGACAAAACCAGGCATGAGACCAGAGCAGGACTAGAGAAAGAGTTATAGGCTTCTCTCTACATTCCTGCTCCATCCCCCTTTTTTCTTCCAACTCAAACAATTGCCACTTTGTGCCTCGGCGAGAGCTGGAGGTCACTGCTCCTCTGCTTTCCATAGGCAGGCTCCGGCGCATTCCTTCTGCAGCCCTCAGCCAATCAGAACACAGGGAGGAAGAGCCTTGGCCCAACTAGCCAATTGAACCCAGCGAGGAAGATCTGCGGTCCAGCTAGCCTCCAAGAATCTATCAGCTATTGATTTGTTTCCAGGATAGACCCCAGTGTGCCAGTTGTGGCAGATTTAGAATTTCAGCAAGTAGTAAGATTAATCACACTCCAGTGTTTCCCATTGATTTTATTAAAGGCGCATTGTGTAACTTTTCCGCTGGAGGGTCTGTCAGATGCTTTTCTTCATGGAGATGTTATTGCTTTGTCTGGAATGTTTCACAGTATGGCATTAAATCTTTCCAAACCAAACCAGACCAAGTTACAGGAGACATCTG